ATGTAAATGGTGGTGAGCGAGACCACGTACCGGTCGCGGGGGCACCGGCCACCCGCGCCTGGGGCCCGCCTCGCCCCACGCGCCCCACTCGCCACCTGTGTAACATATATAAAGGTAAAATTACAAAATCTTTATTTACCTTATCTGATAATAAACTTATTACTCTTAAGCACGACAATGCCTGTACCGGGGGACATGTTTTGTTTATTATGTTTTATCAATGTTGCATTCACAATGCTATGCAAAAAAATAATTCCAATGAAAAATGCTTAAAAATCAACTTTGTCCCTGGATTGTTTCATCTTTATTGAAAGTTTAAATATTTTGAGCGACGGAAATGTCGTAGATCCTCTGAAATGTAAAAAAAGTATTAATGTTTAGACTGAATGATACGATACGGCGCCGCACACAGGCACGTGCAACGTTGATTAACGGCGGAAATTGTGTAACCAACGTTACAGAATTTCACCAGTTTCTTTATTTCACACATCAAGCCAATATTTATTTATTTATACTTTATCGCCCAACTAAGAACAAATGGCTATAGAGGCATTCTCTCATTAAGCAATCAAATACTTATTTTAAGTACATTATTGTTGTTTATTGGTGGACAATAAACATTTATGTCTGTGTTAAATATTTTTATTACTTGAAAGAATTTAAATTGTCATAAAAAAATTAAAATCCCTAATTATTTTAAGTGAATTGTAAGAAATTCACAAATGATTGACATTTTGTGTTCAGTAATTTATTACTTAATATTAATACGTTGATTTTTTTAAATATAAAGTAATCTCAATAAACAACAAATATCGTATTATTTTAATTTATATAATATATTTCATAATAACAAACACGTTATGCAGTGATTTTATAAAATTAAAAATATTTCCTAAGGACATCTACCAAAACGTTTCCAGCCTAGGCCTAGTAGGATCCATATCGGAAAGTAGTGTGCGTCGTAATCAAATAATATTCCATACGCGTGATGGCTTTTCTTCATTGCCACAACGCGTTGAGATCGAATAGCATGTCAGCCACGACACGAATTTCGCTATTTGGTCTTTCTGTGATTGCCACAACGCGTCGTGCGCGTTTTCATTAGAGCCATAACGCGAATTTCGCCATGTGGATGTTTTACTGTGACCACAACGCGTTGTGAGCTATTTTTCCGCTCACTGAGCGTTTTCGATCTTTGGAAATTACGAGTACAGAAATCATAGTGTCTGATTATGAAATGGAAGTAGACATGAAATAGTGGTAACGAGTTGTGTATTTAAATATTGGTATTTAAATGCGAGCTTGTTTGGGGCGTTACGAACGTCAAATGGTAGTGCATTCCATAGTCGGGTGGCAGAGAGTGAAAGAGCTGGATACGTAGCTGAAATGGTGAGAAGGTGTTTGAAGGACAAAATTACCACTGGAGCGAAGATTTTTCTGGTGGGAGGCCCCGAGGAAGTCGAAACTAGATTTCAAATAAGGGAGTTAATAAAAATTGAGAAGAGAAGAGGAGAGAGCACACCGCCTTGAGGCACCAGCAAACAATACGCCAGTTTGAGACGGTATTACCTAGTCGTAGTCGTACTGCTTGCTGGTGACCTCAAAGATAGGAAGAGAACCAAGTAAGCACAGAGGCTGAACATCCAATTCGGGAAAGAAGAAAAAGAAGGAAATCGAGGTCGACCGTGTTGAAAGCGTTGGAAAAGTCGAGGAAGGAAAAGTGGAAAAGGCGTATAACTCCAGTTATCTTAAGAAGAGCAGTAGAAGTGCTGTGTCCGGGGGGGTAAAAGTCCGATTGAAAAGGGAAGAGAAGTTGATTTGTAAAGGAAAGTTGTATGTGAACAGTGGCTTCAAGCATCTTAGAGAGGAATGGTAGTATCAAGATAGGTCTATAATGACTCATACAGTTAGGGTTGGAAATTTTGGGAAGAAGAATAGCGTATGCCTTTTGGAGCCAGAAGTCAGAGAATAATTTAGGGTACATGTTACAGCAGGGATAATAGCATCAAGTATAGGTATTATCATATTTCTACTGATATTGACGAATCCCATAGATTTCGATTTAATAGAGATTGTTATTTTGCGTATCTCGTCGACTGATAGGGATAAAAGAAACAAGCTTACCGGGAGACTTAGGAGTGGAAAAAAGTTTAAAAATAGTGAGGAATTTGGCGGTAACAGGGAGAGTTATGTATGACAGAGGAGAAGTGACGGTTAAGGTCGTCTGATGCAAAGGGACAAGATAGAGCACGAGATTTGCCTATCCCAAGGTAATTTAGGAACTTCCACTTTTCAGCAGGCAAGAGAGATGAATGTGATGGCGTTTGGCTCTCCTTATCACCTCCCAGTTGGCATCGGTACGGCACCTTTTGTATGTCCGAAACGCCTTGTCACGTTTCCGCATAACAATGCGCACAAAAGGTGTGATCCACGGTGCCGGAGGCTATCTCTACGTGACAGTTTTGACCAGGGTATGCACTTAACTTAAGTATCGTTGCGTTGAATAATATAACCATTTCACTAACCGAAGAGGCGTTATGAACTGGAGACCAACCAATATCATTCGTATCTTGTCTTAGTTTACCTACGTTTATATCAGATTATTGTTTTGATGTTGTACGTATAATTTAAGTGTAATACGGAAAGGATACCGGTCTGCGGTTGTGTCCAGAGGCGGCGGCCCCAGGGTGGCTCGAAGGGCGCGTACTGCGCGGGCGGCGGCGCGCCCTCCGCCCCCTGCACCAGCCCACCCTTGTGGCTGAAGATGTGGGGACCCCGTGGCACGTCCGCTACGTCTGCCATTGTTGGCGATTTAATTAATAAACCACGTAATAATTTTGTCAATTCACAAGAGATGTGATTGAAGGCTTATTGTTTAGAATGTGGCCAGGCCCCGTCCAACTGGTGGTGAGTTCGTACCGTTGTAGCGATGCGGCGGCGGCTGGGCCTGAGTGAGGCGGTGGGGCCAGCGATCCGACGGCAACTCCGCCGGCTCTACCGCGTTCAACGGGCCCTCGTTTTCCACGGGATCTCCCAGGATCTGTCCAGTTACGAGTTTATTATTGGTGTTTAATTAGAGGTAACTGTAGACTGCATCCGTTAAAGGATTACCTATCGCCTAAAATGCGTAAAAATATAACATACAATTTTTGTAGGTAAGTAGTGTTTATCTACTTCCATGAAAATGACCGCGTGATTTTAATGCAAGTTAAATTGAAAGTCTAGCTACCTGCATAGGCTTGAACTGTGGCGGTGGTGGTGGCGGCGATGGTGAGTAGTGCTGCGTGTGCGGCGGGGGCTGGGGTAGGCGCGGGGGCGGCGTGGGGGCGGGCGCGGGCGCGGGCGCGGGGGCGGGGGCGGGGCAGCCCAGCTCGGGCGCCTCATCGCTCCCATCGGCGCACTGGGGGACGCCGTCACACGCGTTGTACACCGCGATGCACTCCCCACCGCGGCGACACTCGAACTGATACCGACTGCAGCGACCTGCTTTAGTTAAAACTACCGCTAGACTAAGCTAGATGTGGCCGCCCCTTACAAGACTGCTTTAGTGATCTCCAGAGTACGGATCTGCCGACAGTGCTATAAAAATGTACCTACACCTAAAAACAGAGTTTTCTTAGGCGGCCCAATAGCCACCGAATGAATGGATTTGTTTTTGAGAAATGGCGACAGAAGAACGGGACATTCAGGACCAGAGGCCTATTATCTAATTTTATAATCGATGGACATTTGAATGATTGAACTTCACGTTACATCTGTTTAACATATGATAAATATTGTGATCCTGACGTTTTTGTTAAAGATAGTGAATGGACTATATCACTACATTTAGTTACTAAATCTTTAATAATGTCTCTTGATCATTCAAACCATCATTTGTTCCGAAAGCGGTTGCGACTTTAAATAAAATCACTATACCTGTGAAGAGATTGCGATAAATTTCAATTAGGTCACAGATATTGATAGTACAAGTCAATTAAACTAATATAATGAAATGATAATTGATAAGAAATCTAATCGGGCCCGGATCTAGGGAGGTGCAAGTGGGGGCACTCGCCCCGGCCGCCAGTGTCAGAGGGCACCAAAACCATTATACTTAATACAGTAAAAAAGGTAGTTTCACAAAATGTCTTTTAAAAAATCATAAAGGCTATGATTTTTTTACTATGGGACGGGCATCTTTCTCAACGTCCCTAATTTAAATTATAAGGTGTTGGGCGCAATATCAAGTTTCTGCCCCGGTTTGAAAAAGTTGTAGATCCGGGCCTGAATCAAATATACATAAATAAAAAAATACGCCAATTGCAAAGTGTAATGATCTCGATTGGTATTTACAGACCGAGTTCGAGTACACATCTCACGGCGAGTCAGGCGCACACGCACACCACACGCCACGACGGTTATGACTCGTCGATCTAATCACAATCACAATGATTTGTGATGAACAGTGTTCGGAATTAGGTAGAGTTATTCATGTACTTACACTGCTTTCATACAGCGAAAGAATAAAGTGGATATGCCTCAAATCCCGAGATTAATTTTAAAGAGCAGAAAAAATCCCGTGATTTTTTAAATAAAAAGTTATTTACTTTTACACAATTTAAACTACTGCACGCACGACGTTGCCAAACTTACATCAATGACATCCGATGTCCAAAGAATTAGAAATTATCCATTAGAAATCCCGGGAAGGTCCACAGTAATATCAACATTTCGATGCAAGTACATAAATAGCTCTACCTAATTCCGACCTCTGGTGATGAAAGAAACTCGTAAAATATTTTTGGATGTCTGGTAACACTTACTCAATTTAACGTGACTATGGATCCCGTAGCAATCGTTTGATAACAAATTCGGCTTCCCACTACCCATATGTATAAAAAGCGTGATTCTATTAAAACAACAATGACCACAGAAACGTCTTCTCATAGGGGTATCAAACCAGGTAGGTATGATAAGATTTACAACCAATGTCATTAAACTGTTCTTGGATATGGCATTGTTACGTGTCGCTACATACGAGGATCTGGAGGTCGCGGCGGTGAAGGCGGCGGTGGAGGCGCTGGACTCGTTGCAGCCGTAGTGGGTGCTGCAGGAGTGCTGGTCGCACCTCTACTGATTAAAAAAAGGGAACGTTAGACCATCCTGGGTAGAAACAGAAGTCCATATAATGTAATAAACCATTAATAAAACAAGAAATGAAGATGTTATACGAAGATATGGAGAGATTATTGGTAGTAAATAAACAGAGATGAAGCTTAAAATTTTGTTTATATTATATTAATTAATTTCATTTAATCTTTATCCTACATATGCTTATGTTTAGCTTATTTAAGTTCTTCATTTAATATTTATAGTGATAGTTTAATGTTAGTTAAGTACATCTTTTTCTTTACCTGACATACAGGCATGTTCTAATTCAGGCACTTGTGTTACTTTGCTCAATTTTGTATATTTATCTCAATTTTATGCACCGTGTTAATGAGTATTTTAATAAAGAATTTATCATTATTAATATAAATTTTGCGAGTTTGCTTCTAGAGAGTAATAAAAAATGTTTACCTTAGAGTTGCGAGCTCCCGCTCGTGGTTCGCGAGTCGCTCCTGGTCCTGCAGCTCGGCCAGCCGCCTGCTGAGCGCCATCACGCCGCTGCTGAAGTTGCCATGCGCCGTAAACTTGCATCGGAAGTCCTCGGGCGGTCCGCAGTTGAACAGATAACAGCTGCCCGGACTCTACAAAGATGCAAGCGACGAACAGGCACTATCATTCGTCTGTTCAACACGCTATTATAATTATAATAATATTTATTTTTGTCTCTTTCTTTGAATAATATCTTAATATATATTACATGTTTATATATCAGTGCGCAGCATAATTAAATACTGTTATGACGAGGCCGCATTACCAAACTGTATGACTGGTGTAAGTACCTTCCTCCGGACATAACTAAATATTACTCTGAGCTGTAGATATTCTAAAAATGATTTTATCAAAAAAAAAACTATTAATGCAAGGAAATGAATGTAGGGACGGTATGACGAGTCGTTGGCGTTTGGACAGGATAAATTATAATACGCTAACCATAAGGTTAGCGGTAGCCATTACCTTGGTGGGTTCTTCGACTGCAATTCATATTGGAGCCATCGCGTTCGTGAGGTTAATAGAAAGGTATTAAGTGCATGAGCTCGTTCTGCCGTATTGAGAATCTTTTGCTGACTAAGACAAAAACGTAAGTTTTCAGTCTCACAATTTAGGTAGGATAGGCGGTCGCTCGGCAAATCTTATTAGCAAACAAAACTAGATGGAAAGGTAAACTTTGTTCAAAAATGATACTAAATTTTCGATTTCAGTCTAACTAAATATTTTATACGTATGCAAAATAAATAGATAACCGTAAATAAAGTGATACGAGGCCGCCGGCCGTAGATTTATTGATCGGTTTGCGTCGCGTTGTGTAAACTCGATGCTGTGATAGCAGCCCGCATGAGGATTGATAATAAAGTGCAGAGAATACTCGATGCTGGTGCATGATTATGCTTTTACCGCTCGCTCCAAACGCGAGTGTCCTTGACGTAGATCCGTATTGGAGTACGTTTGGCTTGCTACGTCTAAACAGAATAATAGCTACAATTTTATTGAATTAAACGGAAGCATTCCTTAGAACACTTAGTCGAAGTTCATTGTTTATGACAACCTAGTTTTATGTGGGTAACTGCATCCAGTAGTACGAGCCTTGAACCCAAGTTTAAATATCAACGTGTTTATTTTCGTGTCGGTACTTAGTCACAACAACCGTGGTAACAACGCACTACAGGACGTATGTGTTCCGTATTGTGACTCCATGTAAGATACAAGATGCAAGACAGTTTCTGTGAGAGTAGCACAAAGGACATTGTTCAACGTCTATACATTGATGGCCCCAGAGCCAAAAAAATATAGGAACATACTGATTTTATTGTGTGTCACTAACTAATTCTCATTATGTATTTATTATACGGCGACCAAGTTATAGAACTTATTATCACGCAAAATATAATTCATTTTGAGGTTATAATTTGTTTGGAAAACTACCAAGAAATGGCACTCTTAAGTACATGACATAATATTGATGTCTATATTGTCGAAGAAACAAACTCAACTTTAAGAAAGTCGGTTTTTCGTTGTGACTTGTAAAAGTTTCTAAGTCAATAGACAAATTAATCATTTTAATAGTTAAATAATATACCTATTGATAAGCTTAAAATAAAAAAACCTATAGTTTTTTGAAGTTTTACATCAAAAGATGGCGCCTTAAATACGAGGACTATAAAGGTAATATAATAGAAACAAAGTAGTTTTTAGGATATGTCGTATGAATATCAATCTTTCTGAATAAACAAGAGTGAATTATCATCATTAACAGTTAATGAATTTAGTTTATATAATATTCAGTTTTATGTCCTTATGTTTTATTTGGAAAACCACCAAGAGATGGCGCTTTTAGTAAATGATTTGACGTTTATACTGAAGTTTATTTTCTTTCAATTTAATTTAATGTTTTTGTCATCGATGATTTAAAGGTTATCTAATAAAAATAAATAATCTTCTTGATCTGACGAGTAAATAACATCCATCTGACTCAATAGAATTTAAGTGTATTGAATGTGAATATTTACGAACAAAAATGTTACTGTTAAAGTACTTTAAATATTAATTTTGGATCGCAGCTTCTCCGTATCAAATAAATATTTGATACCAATTTAATAAATTAATTAATAATTATTATTGAAGTATTAATATTTACTGGTATTGGGGCCATTTTCGGCGATGTCTTTTAGTTTGGAAATTTTAATGTAAAAATTGCACATCGCTCCAGTTGTCTTGTTACGGATAAAATGGATGCCATTTTTGAAAAAATGGAGTAAGATCAGCATACCAGTAGTAACGACGTTGCTTAAGAACTGAGAATTGACTACAAAACAATTTTGACTTATTTGAAAATACTGGGTACACAAAAATTTTGGTTATTTCGCTCACTGAATAGTACAGTGGCACAACTCAAAAACCATAATTTCGAGAAACGCTCTGCGAAGTTGTGAAAATCTCATATATTTATAATTATGAAAATAATTTTTCTTAGCATTTTTAGCAAAACAGTTAAATCTTTTGTATTATATTATTACTGTTAAGTTTTTTATTTTTTCTTTTAATTATCTATGGGATGCCACCACAATGTTGTGGCGTTTTCTCGAAATAATGGTTTTTGAGTTATGCCACTGTACTATTCAGTGAGCGATTTGGGTACCTCACAAACCCTGGTTGACTCGCAACAAGGTGACGCTGTGTGTGTGGTGGGATTGCAAGGGCATTATTCATTATGAGCTATTACCGCCAGAAGTTAAAGCAATATGAGAGAAAGCGGGCAGAATTAATCAATACAATGATTGTGGTTTTTCATCATGATAACGCTAGACTTCACACATCTTTTGTCACTCAGCAAAAATTCAGAAAGTTTGGCTGTGAATCTTCAGATTTCTACCTGTGTCGGTCTCTTCTGGATTCTTTAGGCAGTGTCAGGTTAACATCACGCCAGCCCTGCGATTCTGTAACAATCCAGACCCGAATTCGAATTCACTCACGTGTCCGAATTCTTGTCATTTAGTAAAGAAATCCTATTGATTCCATTTTTTGTATAAAAATACTAAACAACGTTGATTGATTAAACGTGTCATAGATATTTTAATCCTATATCATTTCGAAACTCACTTCACTTATGTCACGAAACATTATTACCAATTCAAGTTTGAGCGGATGCCGCTTTTTGAAGTGAATTCGGACACGTGAGTGGATTCGAATTCGGGTTTGAAGTTTTACAGAATCGCAGGGCAGGACTGCCAAAACCACTTGCCGCGGTTTTTTGATCAGAAGTCCCAAAATTTCTATAGCAATGCGGTCATGTCCCTACTTACAAGAAGGCCGAAAGTTATTGAACAAAATAGTACCTACATATTTTAGTTAAATGTAAATAAACTTTATTGAAAATGTTTTGTACTTTCATATAAAAAATGAAAAAACTTTTTTCCCAACCCGTTATATGAATATTACGCCATATTCCAACTAAAGTACATACACAGGTAAACTGATGGCCTCTTTTTTTTGAAGTTGGTTGAAGAGAAGTCATCAATTTAACTCCTTTTATAAGTGTGTAAATTTTTATTCCTTTCATAAGTAGCTTAAATTGCAATAGTTTATATCTTCAAAACTACTGAACCGAATACTGGATTTTAAGGAAACTTGTAGTGTATCCTAAGTTGAAAGCTAAGCAATTAAACAAAACTATATAGCAATTAATAATCCGATTTTAGTTTGCGAGATATCCTTGAACAAACATCAATAAAATTTTGCACACTTGTTTATAGGTCCATATAAACCAACCGATGAATATTACGCCATTCCAACGAAGTTACATACATACACCTCGAATTGATAATCTCCTTATTTTGAGTAGGTTAAAATATTCAAAATACTGAATATCTATAAGAAATAGTCCATCACAAATGTTTACAACATTCTGGTTTTGAAATAAAATATTATTTTGATTCAAGAGTGAAATAAGATAATAAATTTACAATGCGAAATACCTTCTCTTCGTAGACAAAAACATCACAGGAGTCCGTCTCACAGCACAAGCGCAGGCATTCATGGCGCGCCCCCACGTCCAGTTCGGAGAGATACCGCGCGCCCATCTCGCGGGACTCCTCCGTGCGAATGATCTTGTCGCGTTGCACGTCAAAGCGCGCGCTGCACGCGGCCGGGTCCAGCTCCCGCGCGTGCGCCAGCGCCAGCGCCGCCCACCACCACAGCGCGGCGCGACCACAAGCTCCCATGCTTCTATGCATTGTTCTTCAACTACACTGCTGGCTGTTCCTCCCTTCGAGATTTTTTGTTAGTATGTAACACTCACCGTCCATATAGGACGGTCACTCGCATAGAAGTCTCGTACTGGAAGTTTCTTTCAAAGGGTTGCCACTTCCGCCTGACCGAAGCATGACATGTCGCACGATCCGTTCTATGTTGTCCGTCGTAAGCATCTGATCAGTCACCTACAGCGGAGGCGGGGCGCCTGCCCGTGGACCGATCGATTGCTTTGCGACTGCGCTTTTCGATAGTGGTCGTGGATATGTGAAAATAAATGGAGGTGACTTTATATTATGGAATACCTTAAGTTGTTCCTTTTATATCCTTAGTAGATCGAGACTCCTGCATTATTGCCGATCACCACAAAACTATAGCCGATTACAATAATATCGGATTTTATATTGAAAATGTTGGATTCACTGAAGTAATGTTTCAGAGAGCGGAGTTGTAGTTAGGTTCGTGGCTTGTTGTTGCGCGTCCCGCCCGCGGGGGGTCGCGGCGGGCGCGGCAGTGTCGGCGCGATCGCCGGCCCGCAGCCCGTAGCGCTCCAGCCGCCCTCATGTCGTTGTTTTTCAAGTTCAGGAGCGGCGTGAGTACCCTTTTCATTGTTCCTATCTCGTGTTAGGAGCGAGTCACAGAGAAAGTCGTGTCGTCAACGTCATACACAACGTAACACTTAACTGTACTCCGGGAAGACTAAACTCGTTCGACACGCCCTCGTGATGACACGTTCTTGACTAAAAATTCAAATTATGAAAATCAATAGAAAAAAACTGAAAGAAAAAAATAAAAGAGCACTTAGTTATTGATGTGTTCCTTATCTTTTGATATAGTAAGTTGCATACTAGTCACACTCTCTCTAGGGCGAGTTGTAGGAGAATGCTAAATTAAATGACCTGGCGGCGTGCCGTGGACCTGCGTTCTAAAGATTCTACAAATTACATAAATTTGAAAAAGGCACAGAAAATGTCTAATTCGTACAGCCTTGAAAGTATTCTCAAATAGGTACAACAGTAATATAATATGGCTAATGAGAGTATTAATATAGGTTTAAGGTACCACGTGTCATACCTACTTCCATAGGTAAACTATGAACACCTATGATATTTTATTTTAGTACATATACTGAGCACAATTATAATTGAGCACAAACATGCCCATAGATTTAAGTGTACTTTTATATTACCTATTATTTCTGTCTGTTGTCTGTTACTGTACCATTATAAATAAAACCCCTATAAGATAGCGGGGTGGAGGGGGGGTCCTAGTGTTGGGTGAGAGTTTTGTATATAAGTGCTGGCTGAACTACGCCACCGTCATGGGAAATATGAGAGAAAAATGCCACTATGTAGGTGTACTCTAGTGTGGTAAAATGAAAACGAACTCAGGTAGAGGCATAGAGACACCTAGTTAGGAGATAGTTTAAGGAGTGGAAGGTGATATCGGGCACGTATCTCGCGCACCAAGATGCTGTACATACCTAACTACTGCATGCGTGATTCAGCGACTTGCGCTCCAAGGGTATTGGCTAGCTGGATAAAGATATTTTTGATTAAGTAATTTAACTTAACAACCTCAAAATGGTGGGCATTAGTATAGTAGGTACTGCCAACAACATTCAGTGAATATTCCGCGGCAGGTTATTACATTACCAATCCTTTGCGAGTTGTCTTTGTTGCACACTAGTTGACTTACCCACAGATCATATCTACTATTGCAATCGATTCACGATCCGCGTTGTTATTTGTACAATTGTCAATTACAGGTAGACACCTATCTGTAGTTGCTGAAGATCGACAGTAATTCAGGCTCAGGCAGACGAGTTTCTGTCAAAGTCAAAGTCAAATAATCTTTATTCAAATAGACTTCTTAAAAGTACTTTTGAATCGTCCAACATTTTTTTCCCTACCACTCGTTCAGGACGTCTTTTGGCTGATAAGAAGAACGAGCAAGAAACTCACCAGCTCTAATAGGAGTAATGACATTTACAAAAACCATGTCATTGCCAGATCAATACATTATAAACAGAGAGCGAAAAAAAAACTATGGTCTTATAATGATAACATAATCATTTAATATTAATGGAAACAATATCATGAGTTTAGAAGTAATCACCTATCCAGTTGCTGGATCATCTCAAGTCCAAGCGTTCTTATCTGTCATATAATCGGATACCTTATAATAAGCTTTTTTAATAAGTATTTTTTTAATAGTAGATTTAAACTGCATGATATCTAATTGTTGTATTTTGCTTGGGACCTTATTGTAGAAGCGCACACAAAGACCCTCGAATGAGTTATTAACTTTTTGTAGTCTAGTGACAGGCGCCGTTAATTTATTTTTATTTCTTGTATTAAAATTGTGTACATCGCTCTTTATAGAAAACAAATTAATATTTTTACGAACGTACATTAAGTTCTCGTATATGTATTGAGAAGCAACAGTCATAATGTCTATTTCCTTAAATTTCTCCCTCAAAGAGTCCCTAATCCTAAGATTAAAATTGATCTAATTGCTCTTTTCTGAAGTACTAAAATTGTTTGTATGTCGGCAGCATTTCCCCACTATAGGATTCCGTACGGCATCACACTATGAAAGTAACTGAAGTATACTAATCTGGCAGTATCTATGTCAGTTAACCTACGTATCTTCATTACGGCATATGCTGCAGAGCTAAGTCTATTCAACAATCAATCAATATGTGGGCCCCACTGTAGTTTAGAATCTAATGTTATTCCTAAAAATACTGTGGTATCCACAAGGTCCATGTTCTTATCTTTTATAATAACATTTATATCTACTTTTTTAACATTAGGTAGTACAAATTTTAAGCATTTTGTGTTTAAGGAGAAGATTATTTACATTAAACCTGTATAAATAGATTATACTAAATTAATATTTGTCAAATGTATTCGTGAGAGGTCTCTAGCTACATGTTTCAATGTAAAATTGCGGTTCTCGAGTTTCGTTTACAAAAATTCTTTCAACCGTGTAATAAATCTATGTATAATTGAGTAACCAACCATACTATAATAAGATTGAATACAAGGTGTTTATTGCACGGACCGACACAAAGTTTTGGGGGATTTAGAGGGTCATTCATTAGCTACATTTTAACTTACCGTGACCCAGGTGGCACGAATGCTTAAATTTGTTTTTATCGTTGCTATTGTTAAATTATCCAAAATAATACATTAAAATCAATATATATATTTTTTTACAACATATAATGCTGTATTCTTCAACGTCTATTTAATTTAAATCAGGCATTATTAATAAAACAGGTACTTATCAAGTATCAACAAAAAAAAAATTATTTAAATAGGTCATAATTAACAATTTATTAATGCATTAAAAAGCAAATAGTATTTTTGACTTAGTTTTATTTTTAAAAAGTCTGTTTTTTTCCTAGGACTGCCATCACCTAAATTACCGACGTCGAATAAATACACTTAAAATCCCAGATATTTGTGCGAAATATGATTTTTTCCCCGGACATTTGAGAGGTGTCCGGGGTATTTTTTGCAACTAAATAAAAAATATCGCTTTTTCAAATTTTTATTCATTTATGCAGCTTAAAACCGAATGAAGTACGTATGTAACTGAAACAAATAATAGACATTTTTATTGAAATAACACTCTTTTATCGGATAATATGGTAACAAAAATAAATAAGAAACGATCTTTATTTGGTATCAATCAAATGATTATATGATACTACTTACTTATAACTAACAAAATACTTTATAATTTTAAAATAAACTACACCAATATTTTAGTCATCTAGTTAGGTTGCCGAACCGCTATAAATTTGTTGATTATCTATTAATTGAAAGCACTTAACCGCTAAAACTTTTAATTTTAACGATATCTTTTTTTTTACTTATTTAGTTTTTTCAGTTTTCCCGATTCTCGCTAAAATGTCTCTTACTTTTCTCTTACTTTTCTAACTATAATTTGTAAAGGTCGGAACAACTCAGATCCTTGAAACTTGAAAATATACGAACACTTCAAAAACCCGAGCCGGTCGGCCCTCTGATGCCCGTCAAACTATGTCCTTGTTTCGGACTATCCTAATCCTAATCCGGGGAATTCCGGACGGAAAGCAGCCTTATTTATATCATTTGTACCACCTATGCTGCTTGTCATAGAAAACATTTCCATAAATAGATAAAGTACTAGTTAGAAGAGGCAGGGTTAAGAATATTGTTGTAAATATAAAATCAAGTCATAAATCAGACATAAATTTAAGATCTTTCTATTTTATTCAAAACTTAATTAATTAGCAACGTGCCCACGTCGCAAAACATGTGCCCTACAGAACACTGAAAAGGTATTCTGTGATGTGCCCGCATTGGTATGCGTTAGATCTTTTTTTAAATTGAACTTCTATGAGGACTCATACAGCTGTTGTTGGACTAACGTCCATTAAAATTGTCATTAGTTTAAAGCGACATTACCGATATAAATTTGACATTCATTAGAGCTTAAAGGCGTCATTAAACCTTAATTGACGTTTGCTTAACTGACGGATAGATGTTTAATTTAAAATAAGACGTGATAACTTATCTGGTAAACAACAGCCCGGACAGGAGATGTCCGCGCTCGTGGTGGCCGTCTATCATATCAGCTGAGCGACCCTGCCGCCCGCCGCCCGCCGCCCGCCCGCCGCAAACGGCGCGGTCTCGCTCGCCTCATTCGCAGGTCGCGCAGTACACACAATCAGCAGCCACACGCAGTGTTGTAGTCAGTTAACGCTGAGCGCCACAGTGTGTCGTAGTGTTATCGCATCGCCCGCCACGGTACAATCTTGTCAGAGTGTTGTGTTCGGTATTAGTGCGGGCAGTGGTCGGTTGCCGTGCGCGTGTGTCATCTCATCACATCACATCTTCCAGTGCAACCACAGCACAGAGCTCCCGCGGCCTCCGGGGGCACTGACCGACGCCCGATCTCATTGCGGATCGTGTGAGACGCGGTACACTCGCGCGGAACTAACACCGCTCCTCCTCTTGCTTGCTAGATTTATACAATTTCCATAGGTACAAATTATAATATTTTGTCTTTGCTTGCATGTACAGTATAAATTGTTGCCTGCAGCCGGGCAACACAATATTTTACTTGTTTGGACTAGTATAATGATTACATTATCTCCATGTTAATTGAAGTGTCACAATCACAATACCTTTAAAAATTACCACCCACGTCATTAGAAATTATACGTTAGTCGTACAAAAAATTCTACAGTGCGATAAATAGCTGACGATAGTCGATAACGCACAGCAGTTGCGCTGATTTTTATAAGCGTTAGGTATAAAAGATTACAAGCACAGTCGAATTTATCTACTGTGTCACAACTTTACAAGTAAGTAATCAAGATACCTATGCGGTATAAATAAACAATGTCACGTTACAGGTAGGTATTTCTCCTACCGCTGAGATTAAAAATATATAACGATCTCGTAACAATCGACTTGTTTATTAAAACATCGACGCTCCTTATACTGCAAAGTTAATGGGGAATTAGTTAATGTGTAGTGTTTAGGTATAAGTTAAATACTACTGGGTAACTAATTGAACTTAATACAATTTTAACTAACCTAGACATTATGTGCTTGGACTTCAATTCGTTTGACGTATGATACAATATGCTGAGAATATGACTAATTAAAAAAAGGTTTGAGCTTTAAATTGAACCTGAAGTGAGTGAAGTTCATTATGGATGTCCGTAGTTCTTAAGGCTGGCAGTAAAGACAAAATGACACATAAAATA